AGCTGCTCGTGAATAAAATTAAGGAACCTTGGCATTGAAAAGTGAACATGTTCTTCTACGCATTCGTTCTGCTTTTGGCAATAGTTAAGATCATTGACGCTTATACGGAGTATCGCAGAGTTTGTCTCAACAACGAAGTAGATGTCGGAATTCGAAAGGCACCATGGGAAAATTTTGCTACACATACTTGTATCTCTGGACCTCTAACTCGGACATGTGTAATCGTCGGTGAGTAAAAGGAAGGGAAATACAAAAGTCATCAAGAAAAATGTAGGATCATATAATAATTTAAGTTTATCACTCATCTGATCCCCCCCCCCCCTGTGAAATTTTGCTTTAATGCTAATTTAACGATATTACTTACATGTGTATTTAAAATTTATGCATTTTGAGCATACCAAATTTTGACAGAGAGTTGGTGAACCCTAACTCTCTTTTTTTTTTTTTTTTTTTTAAAGTTTTTTTAGTGTTTTACGCGCCAGAAAAATAACGCATTTGAAACATTTTTTTGATTCTATCTTAAATGGTATTTTTTTCTCTTTATATACGATTATTTTATGCATTGAATCATCCTTAATTACGTAACTCAAACACTACCAAATCTAATTTTGAAAATACATTTCTTTTTAATGAAAGTTTCTTTTTTAATATATGTTAAAATGTCCCTATTAATTATCAATAGAAGTTTAATCTATAAAAAAAAAAAAAACTTATAAGTAACCCCAGATTTTACGTATCAGGCATATTATCTCTTTTGCCATATTTCAATTGCTGTAAAAGTATTACATTTGGCATTCTCTTTAGCGCCTGGTGGAAAGCAACTTTCGCTAATTCAAGAACAACGTTTACGTTCAAGGTTTTAATCAATACATATAAATAAGAACATTATGAAATGCGCTGAATCAAATCTACGCTAATTTGTTCAAAATCAGTTCCCGCCAGATATAATATACGCAAAATATGATATACATTTACGGTTTATTGTTCAAATTGCTTGGCATATGATATTTCACCTACATAAACGTGTTTTTACAGATGCCAGAAATGGGTTTGCCTGCACAGGCGAACGTCACTTACAGGGAGGCCTGCCATATCAAAAAAGTTTATGTTGCGACCGGAAATGTAAGTTTTTAAGAGTTGCAGATTGATAAAGTTTTAGGTTTCATGAATATTATGATTAGGAGATGAATAATATTTAAAATTTATATTTTTCGGCAAATAAATATTGTAAAATAATCAATGTTATGTTCTGGAACTACTACACAAATGTGTGATTAATATTTGCACAGGATAAAAGTTAAAAAGGCACTTAGTGTAATATTATTAATAATTATGAAGACTACTTGTACCAACAAAATTATGACATTTTCAAATATTTTAGTTCATCGACTTGTGCAATGTAGGATTACGCAGCTATTTTCTTTTCGTGATGGTTTCAATATACAGCTTGGTACAAAAGTGATTAAAAAAAAATGTCATACCGTAAGTTTTCTTTTATCATAGAATGAAATTACAGAATACGTTTGTTATATATTTTTAATTTATCTATATTACTTTAAAAGTACTTGAATTCAATAGATGTTTCATAACTTTTTTTTTTTTTTTTTTTTTTTTTTGCAAAATTCTCCTCTAAGTTAGAAAAGCCTTTGAAATTAAACTAGATTTTTTGCTGCATTTATTATAATTTATTTTTTTAAAAAATGAAGAAGTGAAATTTAGTGAACTTTAAAAATTGAGAAAATGATTCTACATGTACTATAATTTGTTTTCAAAACAGCATTATAATCTAAAACTTTTAGCATTATCCCACTTATGGTAGCAATTACTGCTCAAATGTTTATTTTTTTTTTTTCAGAAACCCAATTCCAAGTGACCAAACTGCATTTCGAGTTGAAATCTGCAACCTTCTCCAAACTAGATATGGACCCTACTAATGCCAAATTTTCTATAGATAAAAGTGCCTGTAAGACAAATGTACCTTTATTTTTATTGGATAGATTTTTCATCATATACATGTATATTTCTTTAAAATTGTATTTTCATCTTAAAATATAAAATAATAAAGAGATATTGTCATATTTTTTCCCCTAAAAATTGCAGTTTTGGTCAATCCTTTATTAATTCCTTTCTATTATCTTCTTTATAAATTTCTAATGTACCTTTCGGAAAGAAATAAAATTGACAGCAATGAAAAAAAACCCTTTGTTTTGTTCTTCGTTTTCAAAGATCATTGGTTACATTTTTTAATAGAAAAAGTAGTGCGTTCATTATACCATCGTCGTTGACTTTCCCTATGCTGCCGAAACATACGACTTAAATCAAAGCATATACTTTCAAAAGTTTAATAAAAAACAATTGTCAAAGAGCCATATCGTTGGGTGAATAGAAGGTACTATAATGAAAAAGTTTCTAGTTTTGCAACCGATTGTTAGTTATGTACATTAACTTTATAACCGCTCCATGTCGCTGTCTGCTCAATCCTCTGCGTAATGAAAACAAACGCCTTGGTGCAGAGCAACCAGAAAATTGAAATCATGGAATAAAAAATATTGATATATTGATGTATAGTCGTACATGTAAAAATAAGATGTAATCATTTCCAACTATGGTCATTGTCACCCCCTAGTGAGGATTACTACGAGGTTCTGATGAGACTTTAAGAGAATTTAAAAAACATTCTAACGTTTTCATTTTTCAAAGAAAAACGGAGATTCCCATTGTGTACTTTATAGAAAAAAATTCTCATGTCAATGTCTTATCTAAAATGTATATTTCATTTTTGTGTACTTTTTAAATGCAAGTAAACTTAAAATTTCATTAAACTCTTTGATCAATATCTAAAAATAAAACTTGACAGGTAAACAAACCATGATTTGTGAGGTGTTTAATGATTCGAGAAAAAGCTCCAACTGGTCAGGTAAAATAATCTGCAGGGGGGCCTGCTATAGGTTTAATATAGTGTAACTTTTTGTTGTCATAGAAAATAAAGATAAAAAATAATTTCACCCAAATTTATCCTACTTTAAAACATTGCTGTGACGTCATGCCTTTGTTCTTGCAGTCTTAAAATTTATAATAATAATTAGCAGTCCAATAATATATTATCGGACGACAGTGATAACAAAAGACAGTAGTTAACAACAACTAGAGTGATATCAAGGTTTAATTTGTCCAGAAACCAAAAAAAAAGTTACGGAGAAAAAATTCAGGGAAAGGGAACGCGAGGAAATTAAGTTGTTAAAATAACAAACCTAAGAAGAAACTGGAGTTTTAACCTTCCTCAAAAGTAACACCTTCCATTCGTTTTTTTTTTTTTTTTTTTTTTTTTTTTTTTTTTTTTTTTTTTTGCAAAGCGTTTTCGATACAGCGCTGTGAATAAGCCAATTTAAATCCATTTCTGACAAAGAACCAGTCTGCGAATCTCTTTATTTAACGAGGTTTGTTCGCCAATGACCACACTTTTAAAACCCAAGATTTTCATTATATCATCCAATCAAAATTATTGATAATATCCACATTTTTACTTTAAATGTATTTTGAAGATATCATCCAACACTGTATCTGTATCAATGTCAAACGAACTTGATAAAAAAAAATATTCCGAATCATAAAAAAATCCTTCATCACCTGACCACTGTCCATAGTTCCTGCTAAGCCAAACGACTGCCATTGAATAAATGAATCGAAAGAGTTCACTCACTGATTTTACTATCTAAAAAAAAAACTTTCTCTTTTCTTTTGTCTATTTATTAGATGGTTTAAGGTAGAAAACTATTGATGCCTGAACTCCTATTGTGTAATTATCGGACTCCTCCAGGTAAATTTTGGACATTTAAAAAGCAATGTTTTAAGTAAGATATATGCCTCATACAATTCTATATGTAAAATTATCAGACTGTTTTCGGCCCTAACGGGCCTCAAACAGTCTGATAATTTTACATATAGAACAATATTCGGCATATATCCATTACATACATTTTGTAAAAAAAAAAAAAAAAAACACAGTGGTTTCAATTTTCAGAGGGGTTATTTTATGGGTACCTTTGGCACAAAAATGACACTATAAAGAAAATTCTGATGAATTATACAGTGCACGCAATCAATATTCATACCATCTGTGTCCCAGAAATGTAGATAAACAATTGAATTCAAAATTTATCTCCCTTGTATTTCAAGTGAATGTCCTGCATACAGTATTATCAATATAAAACCATGATCCATGTTATTATTATCACGAATAAAATTATTTAAGGACAAAAAAGGCTTTCTGAACTAACATTTGTGCATTACCTATCTTACATAAATAATTTGCGAGAATGACACCGCCGCCATTGCTGAATGAATTACCATAATTTTCGAAAGGGTAATATCCTAATCAACCAAAACAGTTTGATAAATCAGAACGGATTTTATTATCTATTATGATAACACGTGTCTTTTATTCTATTTGACACGTTTTTTCTGTCTTAAAGAAGATCAAAAACTTTCCAGTAGCAATGGGATTGACAAAAAACAATCAAACAGAAATGTGTACAAAATAAAACGACTCTCAATCAAAATTTGATGCCAAAATGTCTATGTGAAACAATGTATGTAACATTTCAAAAAAGTTTTTTTAATAATATTATCATCTTATCTTTAACTGGGTATAAATCTCATTTAATGTTTAAAAAATATCCGACTTTATGATTACATTTCAAATGGTTATAATTGACCATAAATTCTCTCTCTCTCTCTCTCTCTCTCTCTCTCTCTCTCTCTCTCTCTCTCTCGTTTATCACACAAAATCTGAATTTACCATTGCCGCATATACGCAATTAATAAAGAAACAAACGCTAAATCGCATATTGATAAGAGATACAACTAGTGAAACGAAGGAATCATTTCTAACGATTTCCTGTAAATTTCTTTAGAACATTTTACAGGTTCTGGCTTTGTATTGTTAAAACTGAAATGACGGAAAACTAGGCTAAAAATATACATTTTATTTTTTTCCCGTAACCAATAACCAATACAAAATATCAAGTATAAAATGTCAGATTTAAACAGAAAAAAAAAATACATTTAAAAAAAATAATATATAACATTCAGTAAATAGTAAAATCAGCCGACTTGTATGTGTTCAGGATAATAATATCGTATTCTACGGAGAAAACATAACTCAACGGCAAACGTTGTTCGATCTCGAGGTGTGGGGGAACTGCAAAAAAAAGAACTTAAGTAAAATTTTTAAAATAAATATCAATATTTATTACAACTTAATACACTATATTCAACCAATATTGTACATATTTTATATATAGAAAAGAGTGAGAAAATCTTTCTTTTCTTTGTAAAATTTGAATCTTGTACAATATACAAAAAAGTACTTTCTGTATAAAGTTAGAAGAAAAATATTCAAATTGAAGCATCATTTTCTAGACATAAATTCATTCTTATTAATTTGTAGTCGCCGGTGTATTATCCCTTTGTTTTAAAATGAATTGTCAAGAAAAATCCACATTTCCTTGTATTTATGACATTGATTGCTTTAAGTTCTCTTCATCTTTTTTATCTTTAATTGTAATTTTTGAACTTAGCAATGGTCAAGTCTATGCACCATTTCTACCTATCATTAGCTTAAGTTCATTAGCTTAAACTTACAAAAATACTGTAAACCAACTATTATTCGCGTCATCTTTTATTCGCGATTCGTCAGTTTGAAATAGATCTGCGACGATTAATGTTCGCGACTGAGGAATTATTCTATACAAAGACAAAGCAAAATAAATGGTTCGCGAATTAAAGTAGGTCGCAAACTTGGCAAATATTTTTCGCACGCGAATAAAAGTTGGTTTACAGTAATCTATATTGGCAGCTGATTCTGAGTAATAAACCAATACCTTATAACACTTCTAATAACCGATTTACGTCGCTGTATGTTAAATCCTCTTTGAAATGAATACAATCGCCTGGGTACAAAGCAACCAGCTAACTGAAATCCTGTAATTAAATGTTAATCACGTTAATGATTACAATACAGAAAGTAAATAAAAGGAAAATTTATGAGCACGTTTATAATTTTAGGAAATGGAATTCTTAAAGTTAAAAATGATATGTATTGATTAATCTAAAAATTTATAAAACCTATTTTTTTGACAAAAATGCCATTTTGATATCAACTTTGAATCTTTCTTTTTAAAGTTTTTTGCAAACATTTTTGTCAGATAAAACATTGTGTACCCAATTTTTCACAGCATAGAGACTGGCGATTTGGTAGGCCACCTTGAAGCTGGAAATCAGCTGTACAATTGAATCCACCATCCGCATCTATCAAACCAAAATAGGTTTATTCTAAGTCGTGAAGTGCATTATCCTTTTGTCAGCATGCAAAGCATGTTTGTAATTTCTTGTAAACTTACAACCATATTTTTTTTCAATTAAATCAAACTTAATAGATAAAACTCGTTTTACCCACTCGTAATTCATTGAAAACGTTCATTTATTATATTAATCTATTTTTCCTTTAAAGTTAAACATAATTTTCAAAGTCGAGACTATTTATTTTGTGATTTCAGCTTTTCATATGACATCGTGTAGAAAGTCTTCATTAATCATTAATTTAAATTCTTTACAACTCACAAAGACTACTACGCAGAAGATAAATAAAAAGAATATTTAAAAATATATATATTTCTAAGATATTTATATAGAGACTAAAAAAATATGACTGACAGAAGAGATTTTTCAAACAAGATTTCCCGCTTGTTAACAGGAAATTCTTTTGTAGTTGACATTTACTTGAAAGTTAAGGTAACATTTTGTCACACCTGTCTTTCTAATTACTGAAGGCAAATCGTGAAAGTTTGATGAATTTTCTTGCACTTTTAATTTTTTAAGGATTCCAGGTGTGTCTTTTCATTAGATCGGTATGATAAAAAGATGATTTACTTAATATACAACCAGTATGGTAGAAATCATTATTTAAACTTTTTTTTTTCTTAAGGTTGTTCAACAAGAACGTTCATCATTTTGTTGAGACTGGTTCATGTGCTTGAACACTAATGTTTGTTATATATTTTTATTTCATAGTTTTGTTGTAGAAGTTTTTTTGTTTGTTTCCTAAAGAAATTTACACATAAATTGTCGTTAAAATCAAAACCCTTTTGATATTTTTTTTTATAATATAATCTATCTTGAGCAATATTATGCATTCATTCAGTTTTAAATAGATATCCCTTTTAAAAATACAGTTTTATATTTATTGCTATTTTCTTTTTAATTTTTTCACAAATCATATCAGTTAAAAAGGGAACTTTTACGTAAATACATTTAACGAAAAATGAAGCAGTCCTACATCAAAAAAATGACAAAATATATTGCAATTTTGTTTTTACCTTGTATAAAACATCTACCATTAAGGGGACCCGGTACACATGTGTGGGTGGTTTGGCTGTCTTGTGGCCTCCGTCTGATTCCAACATCAAGCTGATTAGGTCGACAGACACGTCTAAATTCTGTCTGTGTGAATGACTTATTGAAATGTGTCATAAGGACTGCTAAATATATCAAAATTTTTGACATTTCTGTGTTTGGAGGTCGTCTGTAAAATATAAAATGTGTGTTAGTTTTGCCACAATGTTTGCAATATTCGATATAACAACGAATGGCAACAGTTTCGACATTTTGAAGTTTCAGATTTTCAAAGACTCTAGCATGTTTAGGTAATATTAATATAGACGAATGTTTAGGAATCAAAATTAAGGCATTTATAGAAGTGTTACATGATTGTATTCTTATCTAGCTTGATCTAGTAAGTTATTCATAAATATTGTTTTCATCAATCCTGAACTTTAAATCTTTAAGTGAATACGTCATCAGAAAAATATCAATATTAACCTCGGCTTCGACTCGGTCAATATTGATATTTTTCTGGTGGATGTTTTTTAAATGATTTTATAACGATTTTTTCCACATAGAAAACGTGAACAGACCCCCAAGCAAGCTTACAACAATAAACTATAATAACTAATTGTAGTAAAATAGATAATTCTTACCTTTAATTCATTTACAAATAATTTGCTCGAGACAAATGTTCATATTTATACTGAAATGTAGGTCAAACTTAAAGTGTCTGTCAATTCTAATAAAACCTTAAACACCAATGAAACACCTCGGAGAGTTCACTTTTGATCGATTATTATTGAACTTTAACAAATGTGTTTTGCACTGTATTCATTTGATCTGGTATGCATATTTTAAAATAAGTTAAACCAATAACTTATATGGAATTGTTCAAAATAAACCTCAAAGGATTTTATTCCAGAAATTATCCAATAAACGATCTTTAAATTTAAATTATCGGAAGAGACTATTGCTTTCTATTTTGTCTTCAGATCATGATCGATTATGTTTATAAATGTAAAATAATAAAAATAAAAAGCAATTAAATCTATTTTCTACAACTACAATAGCCTAATACTTTCACATGTCAAAAATTTAAACATAGCGTTAAAATGCGTGTGTGTGAGTGAGAAAGGTTTCGTATTTCTTTACTTTAACGATATTTAGCGTCGATCGAAAGAGAGAGAGAATTTCGCCTTTTTTTGTCACTTTAACGATTGCAAAATTTTCTGAAATATGATTGTCTTTGATCTGTCTCGTTAATATACATTTATACGAGATCTTTGCTTTTCTTCATCGATGTATTTGAAACAAACTAATTCAAAGAATTAATGAATGCTTATGACCAAAAACAAGAGGGAAAAAAACTCGTTATAACTCAATGAAATGTCAAAATTTATCGATGTATCTTACTGGCTACTGCAAAGACGACATTACCGACCCTCCCCATAGTTCTCATAGAAAACATTATGTGGAAGTTTAGAAAATGTCATAGTAAAAACCAGGCCATCTTCTATGATCAACAAAATAAATCACACGAACATGCGCGACTGAAATGTCGAAGATGGAATCTGTAGATTATAAAAGAATAAATGTTAACAAAACTCAAATAATAGTGTGCAAGACCTATAAACATTTTCATATCGGTCAGATTTTATTTATGTTCTATATTTCAATAACCGGTTAATTATTCAACTATGATTTATAAATTATTACACAAACGTTTGTAGGAAATTAATGCACTATCGCGTTAACTACTTACGCATTTGGTTTTCTTCCTTCTGACAACATTATTTTTTTCCTAAAAAAGTGAATAGAATATTTTTTATCTCAATGTATCTCATTTTTTAAACAGTATAAAGTTTACGCTTTAAAAAACTATTCTTCTGTTCAAATTCCAAGTACCAAATATACCTTTATATTGTATCCATGCAAAATGGATATTGTTTGAAAAAGACAATCAAAAGAAAAATAAATGTATTGCTATCCAAAGCAATGGCTTGTGTCACCCAAAGCTTATCCTAACTGTGTTACTACTATTTTAATATTTTGAAAAATTTAAGACTTTCTTCAACTTACAAATTTGTATTTCGATGGAAATGAAAGTAATTTTTATATTTAGACCATAGAAAATTTGAGAAGATACATTAACATTACTCAAAATTTTGTCTAAAGGCATTTCTTAATTTGTTAAGTTAATTGAGATCTTGATATCCACTTATCAGTACATTGTTATATTACAAATCATATTTCTTGATGCACAGGAACAAATTTCAAATAAACAAGAAGCTTAAGGACCTTAACTGTCACCTGAGCAGTTACAAGTCTACCTGACCATTTAAAACTTTAAAGGACTTTTTGTATTTTGCATTCATTTTATTTTTTTTTAATTTATTTATTCAATTGACCTATCAATTATACTATTAACAGTGATGAATTCACATTGGTGAATAGAAAAGGGGAATAACTCTCTCATTAGAATACGAATTTCTCCACAAGATCAAAAAATCCTTGCCCAGCAACAGAAGGTCTAAAACTTCCAAATACCCTTGCTCATAACAACTTTGTACTCTTTTTGCCTCCTTGATATTTCAAGAATAAATGCATCATCATTATATAATCAATAGAGTCTCCTGATCCAGGGGCCATAATATCACAGGCTGGAAGAGACATCCTAGCTCCATCATAGCAACGGATTTACAGGTGGTTTATCAGTTAAATAACCACGTGTAGAGAAGCTTTTCAAAGAAATAATCATTTTTCACGACATAATCAATAAGACCCCACCCTAACACCAGAAACTCTTACTTAGGGGCCCTAAAATGCATACTTTTGGAAGAGGTTCCCTTGTTAATCATACTCATGCCCTTAGTATGTTTACCAAATATTGATTGAACGTATGTTGTTGTATGTCCCGTTCGAGAATTTTTCACTGAAATAGAGACGTCACCATATACCGGTGAAGGGCTCCTTATTTCGACCTTTACTCGGCTTTGAGGACCATTGAGCAGTGAGGGGTCTTTATCGTGCCAACGCCTGCCTTGACATAGGGCCTCGGTTTTTAAGGTCTCATCTCAAAGACCTGCAAATTTCACTTCAAAGTGCAGAGCATAAGCGGTCCAAGATATCTTGACAGGTTCAATATCTCACTCTGTGGTCAAACATCGATTTTTAAGACCTCTCAGTAAAAGGGTGTAACCACAATGGAGGTCAAAGTTTTACACAGAAATATATAGGGAAAATCTTCTTCTCAAGAACATGTATTCGTATAGAAGTATTCTCAGATAGCGTAGATTCAAATTTGTTCAAATCATGATCCCTGAGGGTAGGTTTGGGCCAAAATGGGGGATAAACGTTTTACATAGGAATATATAGGACGATTTTTCTTCTTAAGAACAACACAGCCACGTTTAGTGATATTCATATGGAACCATTCTCAGATAGCAAAGTTTTACAAGGGTATAAGTAGGAAAAAAAATCTTTCAAATTCTTTTTTGAAGAAAAACAGAGCCAAGATTGGTCATATCCTCAGATAGAATAGATTCAAATTTCTGTACATCATGACCTATGACGGTAGGTTGGGGCCACAATTGGGAATCAAAGTTTTATACAGGAAAAATCTTGAAAAAAACTTCTTAACAAGTACAACAAATCAATGATTAGTCATATTGATATGGAAACATCCTCCAATAGCGTAAAATCAAATTTCTCAAATCATGACCCCCGGGGGTTGGGTGGGGCCACAATTGGGGATCAAAGTTATAAAATGGAATATATGGAAAAAATCTTTAAAAATCTTCTCTTCAAGAACAACAAAGCTGCGATTAGTCATATTGATTTGGAATCATCTTGAGGTAGTGTAGATTCAAGTTTGTTCAGATAATGACCCCCATGGGGAAAGGATGGGGCAGCGATGGGGTATAAAAATTTTACATAGGAATATATATTGGAAACAGCTTTCTAAAACTTTTCAAGAACAACAAAGCCACACGTAGTAATATTCATATGGAAGCATTCTCAGGTAGTAGATTCAATTTTGTTTAAATCATGACCCCTCGTGGTAGGGTTTGGCCACAATGGGAGATCAAAGTATTTCATTGGAATATATAGGAATATATAGGAAACATCTCAAGAACAACAATTAGTCAAATTCATGACACCCCCTCCCCATCCCAAGGTAGGGTAGCAGACATCTTTAAAAAAAACTGTTTTCAAGAACAGCAAGCAATGATTAGTCATATAAATACGTAAGCATCTTTAGAAAGTATATACTCACATTCGTTCAAAACATAACACCTGGGGTAGGGCGTGGGCTATACATATGAATATATAGGAGAAGAAATCTGCTAATGAAGAACAGCAGGGCCATATTGACTCAGGTGAGCGTCGTTGCCCATGGACCTTTTGTTCAGTATAGATTCAGATAGGAAATAAATTTAAAGATATATTTTGTTAATGATATATTAACAAAATATGTTAATGTCTGCAAAATCCAGTACTTACATCTCCAAATATATCATAAAATAATATCCTTTTAAATTTACCTTTACCATATACTATGTACTTAAGCTTGCCTGGTGTAGCATGTCCACTAAAATTATTTTTTTTAAATATATCTTCTTTCCTTCATTTTGTGAAATTCATTAAATGAATGAGAAAAATATCAAAGTCAATTGGAATAAAAAGAATTGCTAAAAATCTGTGATTGATTTTCCGTCAATTCATCATATTTGAAATCCAATCCCAATGCAAGAAATTCCTAAAATCATGTTTAATATACAATCAAATATTGATTTACGATAAGTCTGTAATGCCAAGAATTTGAAATATAAAGTACAACAATTTGAGTATTAATGGTATTAGTTATTAAAAAAAAATTACATGAAGATTTTTTTTTTTTTTTTGGATTTAATTTGATTTCTATATTACAACACAAGGACTCATTATTTCTAAAGATTAGAATTCTGATTTAAATCGGGCATTTCAAATGCTACATTTAATCCAATTAATATGTAGTATAACTTCTAGAACATTTTTACAATTTTTTTTTCAGTTGCTAGAAATAAAAAATACATATAAATATTTATTACTATTATACAAATATTTGTTCCTTCGTAATTCATAGTTGGGAACTGTTTTAATCGCAATCAATTCAGGCGCAAAAAGAATAAATTTTAAGGTCCAATCAATGTTT